GAAGAGAAAGAACTAAGTGTGATTCCATGCCTTTTCAATAGAAATCGTACTTCAGAGAAACCAAACCATCCATTACTTTTGATGCATAAAAGGTCTTTTTCTTGGAAGAATGCCCACTCATAGATGTGGGAGGAATGCTACAGTTAGGAAAGCACCATTTTGCAGCCCCCAGTGAAATCATCATTTCAGGAAAGAGTCCTCAGTGTATGCTAAAACTATTAGATGAAAGGTTGATAGGAACTGGATGTCTGCATAGAGCCAGAACATTACCCTACAGGCCACTTGAGTCATAAAGGCAAAAGCACGCCCGACCATGCCAAGAGCTGGCTGTCGCCACCCTAACCCAGTCATCAAACTTATCATCAGCAATAACAGATGCTCAGATATGATTTGCCTCCTGGTGTGATGCAACAGAAGACACACTCGGCACCAGCTAGGAAACACTCCCGCCAAAAAGGTCAGCCTTCATTGAATCAGGCCTTTGTACTCACCCAGTTTGGGGGAAACATAGGGGATTTAAAAAAAAGAGTTGGCCGGGCACAATGGCTCACACCTGTAATCCTGGAACTTTGGGAGGCCGAGGTGGGTGGATCACCTGAGGTCAGGAGTTTGAGGCCAGCCTGACCGACATGGAGAAACTCCATCCCTACCAAAAATACAAAATTAGCCGGGCATGGTGACACATGCCTGTAATCCCAGCTACTGGGGAGGCTGAAAGAGGAGAACTGCTTGAACCCGGGAGGCAGAGGCTGCAGTGAGCTGAGATCGTGCCATTGCACTCCAGTTTGGGCAACAAGAGCGAAACTCCATCTCAAAAAAAAACCAAAAGTGAATGACACCACGAAGAAATAATCAGAAGAATCCAGAACATGCGAGAGGGTTCCAATCCATGCCTCTTCAACAGCTTAATGTCATAAAAACAGAGCTGATGGCTCCAGGCTGAAGAGGACTTAATAGATGTAACAACCAAGGGACGTGCACAGCCCTTGATTAAATCCTGATTTGACAAAAACCGCGATCAAAGACAGTTTGAAGACAGGGAAATTCGAACACGGGCTGTGCATTGGATGACACCAGGAAACTATTATTAATGTTATTAGATGATATTGTGGGTTATGTTGAAGAGTATCTTTTTTTCAGAAATCCATGCTGAATTAATTATGGATAAGGTGTCACAGTTCAGCAAAAAGTATAGAGAGACAGATAGAACAAGTCGAGCAGAAATGTTAACAATTGTTGAATATAGTTGGTAAGTGTGTTCTTTTTACTTTTCTGTATCTTGGAAATTCTTCATAGTAATTTTTTTATTGAAGTAAAAGCCATTTAAAAACAATAAGTATGCAGTCAGGCACAGTGGCTCATGCCTGTAATCCAGCACTTTGGGAGGCCGAGGCAGGCAGATTACCTGAGATCAGGAGTTTGAGACCAGCCTGGCCAACACGGTGAAATCCCGTCTCTACTAAAAATGCAGAAATTAGCTGGGCATGGTGGCGGGCACCTCTAATCCCAGCTACTCGGGAGGCTAAGGCCAGAGAATCACTTGAACCCAGGAGGCAGAGTTTGCAATGAGCCAAGATTGTGCCACTGCATTCCAGCCTGGGTGACAAGAGCAATACTCCATCTCAGCAACAACAACAAAAACCACCAAGTATTCTGTGACTTTAATATCCACCTGAACAATCATAGCAGCAAACTGTTGCTTGCCAATTCCAGTCTACTGGAAATGCTTCCTGGAAAGCTGTCTAAAGAAGAAAGGCAAAGCCACATTCAGCCCCAGGTAGAAAAAGTTCTGTGATTGACTAATGCCTGCCACGAATATGGGTTTTGAAAGTGGTGTCTTGCATGCTACTTACTGGTCTTTCTTGCTCTAAATCATAGTCCTTCAGCTCTGCTTACTATGTGATCTTTTACAAAAGGGAAAGGAATCAAAAGAATTAGAAAATGAGCAGATTTTTTTTTTCAGATTGAGCTAGAAGATAGGTGTGTGGTTTACCGGCTAGATTTCAACTATCACATGATAAGAATTCCGTATTCTGAAAACATATGTTTTTATAATTGGAGCTACTTCATTGTTCTGTCTTGCCTAGCTTTCTAAGTAATATGTCTCTTGAAAAGGTCCCACCTGTCTTAGCCAAGGAATGAGGACAAGGTTCTTCTTCCATGTGGGGGTGGACAGAAGGGAGCAGTGGCCGAGGTCTCCCAGCTGGAGAGGCCCACAGAAGCCGGCCAACATGTGAGGCAACTCCCCCAACAGCAAAGAAGCAGGTCCATGACCACCGTCCCCTTCCCCCGGGCCAGGCCTTGTCAGGGGGTCAGGAGGGAATCATCACTGAGCAAAGAACCAGTCAACAAGAGCCCAGAGGAGTCACACTCGCTACTGTGTTGCAACTGCTGCTACAGGCTTGTTCTAGGATGTTCTGACGGAGGGAGGACGCCCCACAATCCAGGCTACTGAACCACAGAGAGGGCTGGGACACCAGACAGAAAGCCAGTGACCCACAGGATGGCCTGCCCTGTAAGCACATCCCCACTTGGGAGTTGGGGGGCTGACCCTCTTGCCCACAGCAGGACCAGACCCCCTTAGGGCCAGGCCTGAAGGCTTGGCCTTCTAGACCTGTAGCACCCCCAGGGCTCCAGCATGGAATCTGGAGAGCCTTGGGAGCAGAGAGCCTTCACTAAGCCCGCTCAGTGTTTATCTGGCGCAGGCAATGGTTTCCAGATGTTAGAGGGGCCGGGGGGCCAGGGAGCCTGCGATGTACTAGTGCTCATCTCTGTCACCGACGGGGAAGGAACGAGAAGTCTGGCACTGCTCCCACAGCCAGATGGCTGCTGCTCGGCGCTTTGTGGCAGATAAATCATCCCTGAGGCTCCTCCCAGAACACTTGACAGCCAGGGCGGCTGAGGAAGCAGGGAAGGAAAGCGGGGGGGGGGACAGATGGGTCCTCGAGCCACAGATGAGAACACAGAGGATGAGGCTGTGGGTCCCAGGCCCTGTGCCAGGAGGCTCACCATGAAGTGATGGAGAGAGCACCCTAGACTGGGGGTTTTGCCCCTTGCCAGCCGGGCACCCTGGGTACTCGCCCCAGCTTCTCCCTTTCAGAGAATCTTTTCCAGAGAGAGCTCCTACTCTTCAGGGGGCGTTGATGGCACTGAGAGGCATATTGTGGGCTTCACACTGAAGCACGGGGGGTGGGATGGCATTTAGCCATCATAAACTCTTACCAAGGGCTTCCCATGCACAGCTTCCTCTCACCCTCACTACCATCTCACCAGCCAGGGGCTCTCATTAACCCAACTGCACACAAGAAGAAAGATCAGCCCAGAGAGGCGGAGGATGGCGCTGGAGGTCAGTCACAATGCAGGTACGTGGCAGAGCTGCAAGGTCTGAAGCCACGCATCTGCCACAAGGGCAGAGGGACTTGGGTGCAAGGGACCCCATCCATTTGCCAGCTATTTACCCTGGAGTCCAAGCCTTCACCGCCTGCCCCTGGGAGGGGTCCAGGATGAAGTTATCTCTGGGCCCCTGCTGACCTACTAATCAGAGCCACCTGGTCAGAAGCTCCCCCAGCCACTCTCCTTCACCCCCCTCTTCCGCCTGCCCTCACTGTCTCAGAAGGACACCATTCTCCTAGCAGATGTGCAGAACCTGGGTAATTCACCCTTTGTGCCTGCTGGTGCTGAACACGGGAAGACTCCCAGTCCCCAGAACCGGCCGTGCTGGAACCTGTGTTGTGAGTTGTGGGATGGGGGAAGCAGAGGAGAGCAAGGGGCCCAATGTCCTCCCGAAAAAAAAGACAGAGGGGCCTTCTCAGGCAGCTGCAGGACAGTCAGGTTTGCCCAGCTCTGCTTCCCCAACCCCACCACTGTCGCGGCTGGTGACAGTGAGCTGAGCTATGTGTCTGCTGGGGAATTTGGGGGAGGTACAGCAGGCTCAGGGACCTGTCTAAGTCTTAATCAAAAATGCACACCAGTGGGGCAGGTTCAAGGCTGCCTGCCTCTGACATGGCCCCCTGTCTGAGGGTTGTAAAAGCTCCCAATTTCCCCTGCCAGGGAGAGATCCTCACCTTCCTTTAGTTACCCTGGAACCCCAAAGGGTGACCCAGGTATCAGTGAGGGCAACTTCACAACCAAAAAACCCAAAATGCTCCGAAGCGTAAGCCCTCGCTGTGACTGCTGGCCACCTCCACACCAGCACTCAGAGCTGCGCCTGGCACAAGCCAGGAGCTCGGTAAACGGGGGAAGAGAGTGCGTGATGCCCCTCAGGCTGCATGGATGCGCTTGGAGAGGTAAACGGATTAACTACACACGCACAGTGTGGAGCCTTTTGCAACTTCTGGGGAGTTCTCCCAGCTGGAGGCCCCTTGGCTAGTGCGAAGGCCCCATTCATCTCTCCTGGGAGGGTGACCACAGCCCTGGCTGCCCAGCCACCTTCCCAGGCTTGCCAAATGTCTGGGAACATCTGGAAGGGGCTAGGTCCAAGGCATTAAGCTAAAGAATGACAGAGCTCTGTGTCTAGGAAGGAGAGGGATCCAGGCCCCTACCCAGAGGCAGCCAATTCTGGCCACTGGTGGTCCTACCCAGTCAGACACGTGTTGTCCGGCCAGACTCTCACAGCAGAAAGCTGGACCCACAGCTGGGAGTAGTGGCCTCGCCCAGGTTCCCAGCCTCACACCTGGGCGAGTGGCCCCCAGCAACCTGCTCAGTTGCCCTGTGTCTAATTTGTCTGACAGGAACCCACGTAATTGCCCAGATAGTTCTCCCCAAAAGCAAGAACCAAGCCATCCCTCCACTCTGAAATGCCTGCCACCCTCACTTGGGTGACTCGGTGACAGGGTAGGCTGACATGCCAAGAAATGAAGCCTAAAGTGTCGCAGAGAACCATAAACGCCATCTGTCAACAGGGAGTGAAGGCACACTAATCTAAACACGGCCCTAGAGATAGCTTTCCACAGCTCGTAAATATGTACACAGAAAACCTCCTCCCAGAGGCAACACAGCAGAACTGGCTGGAGGCCACGGCCAGCCTCAGACACCCTGCCTCTCTCTCCTTCCTCTTACCACGGACTTGGGTACGAGGGACCCCTTCCATTCGCCAGCTATTTACCCAGGACCTGCTCTGAGCTGGGAAACATGAAGTGCTGGGGAGGCTGTGGACATCGGGACTCACAACCCAGCCCCTGGAGACTTCATGGCCTAGTGACATTTAATAATTGCACAGTTTCCGGGCGCGGTGGCTCAAGCCTGTAATCCCAGCACTTTGGGAGGCCGAGGCGGGTGGATCACGAGGTCAAGAGATCGAGACCATCCTGGTCGACATGGTGAAACCCCGTCTCTACTAAAAATACAAAACATAGCTGGGCATGGTGGCGCGTGCCTGTAATCCCAGCTACTCAGGAGGCTGAGGCAGGAGAATTGCCTGAACCCAGGAGGCGGAGGTTGCGGTGAGCCGAGATCGCGCCATTGCACTCCAGCCTGGGTAACAAGAGCGAAACTCCGTCTCAAAAAAAAAATAATAATAATTGCACAGTTATAAAGTTACAATTATGCAAAGCAGCACAGGGAGCTGGGAGGGGCATGGAAGGAGACTTAATCTTGAGAGGAAATCAAGGAGGGTCTCTGTGAGGAGGTGCTCTTAGCCAGAACTGGGGAAGGTGAGGAGGAGTCAGCAGAGAAGGAGCTGGAAGAACAGGTCACACCAGCAAAGGCCCCCGGCGAGCAGGAGTGTGGGACACCAGAGAGACAACAGACAACCAGCAGGGCAGCAAGTTTGGGCAAGGGGAGAACAGGGGGACCAGAAAGGCAGAGGGGCCAGATAAGGGGCTGGACATTCTCCATGGGACAAGCGGGAGGGACATGGTGGTGAGATGTGCCTGTGTGGGAGCCACAAGTGTAGGCTCAGGAAAGCCACTTGTGTAGGCTCAGTGGCGCTGCCACTTCCCAACTCGGACTTGGAATCAGCCAAGGTGGTAGTATTTACACCATGGAAATGGGCGTGCTTGTCCTTTCCAGAGGGAGGGTTGTTCATCATTTCCCAGCTGGCCCCTGGAAGGACCCAGTGCATCCCCGGGAGGGGATGGGACTGTGGGGTGGAGGGAAAGCAGGGACAACCCTGAACAGGGTGATACCAGGGGTCCCTGAGGGGAGGAAGGACACACCCCTGTCCAGGAGCAAGGCTAGGTGGCAGGTACCTCGGAAGCACTGGGCTCTGAGTGAACCCAGATCCCGGCACTGCAGGCCACAGAGCAAGCCAGCCCCTCCCTGCCAAGTGCCCAGCACCACTGCCTGAACCTGAGAGCCCCTATGCTCCTCCACCCAACCCAGGATCCCTGACTCTGGGGAGAAGATGCCCCACACCCACACTTCCGCCACACTCTTCCAGGACACCTTGTCAGCCTGGACCGCCTGCTGAACCCAGGCCATCCCAAGGGGCTGCGTCAGGCCTCACCCTCTTTACCTGCAAAATTTTGCCCAGAAACATAGAAGCACCTGCCTTTGGGGCCGGTGGAAGGGTCTGGTGAGATAGGGTAGTGCCTGAGCACGGTGCTTCCCGTGTCTGTCACAGGCGTGCACCCAGAGCTGCTCAGCTAATTCCATATCCCTGCATCTGTGGGTGGCTGACTGCCATTCAACCTCCTGGAGCCACAGGGATGGCCAAGGTCCTCACCATGCCCGAGTGACAGGCTCTGGGACGGTGCCCCTCCCAGTACTCACCTCTGTTACTTGCTGCTTGTCCAGGTGGAACACCTGCCCAGAGCTGGTGGCAGCGATCTCCTCGTAGGCCAGGTAGCCAGGATGGGTGCGGTCGCCACAGTCCCCGGTCAGCACAAAGACCACCTGGAAGATGGACAGGCAGCCTGCTCTCGACTTCCCTGGCCAGCTGCTTTAGGGATGAGCAGCAGAGCCCAACCGGGGTGGAGTGACTTGGAGTGAGCCCTTTCCTCTCTCTGGCACATGTATAGAATGACACATGACACATTAATAGAAGGGACAACAGAAGTGTCCATCTCATGGGGATCAGGAACTGACGCAGGGCAAGTGCGCAGCGCAGGGCCAGGAAAACTGTAGGTGCTCCATATTGGGAACTGTTACTAAATCAACAACAAAGAAGGGCGTGGAAGTCAACTCATCTCACAGTGGCCCCTGGAGGCTGCAGAGTTGAAGAACCTTGAAGAACCCAAGCCAGTTTTAGACGCAGAAGCAGAGAAGCAGTCCGGGCCCTCTGCATCTTGCCCAAGGATGGCCCTCCTCCCTTCCTCCAGCACGTCCCCTCTCCCAGCCCTCACTGCCAAAGCCAGAAGCAAGGGATCAGACACATCTTCCAAACCCTGGGACAATGGCAAAGGGGACACGAACGGCAGAGACCAGGAGCAGAGGCGACACCAGGAGGAAGACAGGTTGCTGGACTTTGATGGGGGTGAAAGGAGTAGGGTGGTGCGGGTCTTCATCTGCAACAACCTGCACCAGGGAAGTGTGAGCCCCGGCCAGGGCCTAGAGCGCGAGAGCACAGACCTCCTGGGCCAGCTTGGTTCCGAGGCTCTGGCCATGGATGGCAGAGGCAGACCCAAGGCTATGGAAGAGAAGTGCCCAGCTCTGCCCTCCCGGTGGCAGCTCAGGACTGCTGTGTGAGAGACCCCACATTCCTCGAGACCCCCTGGGGGCCCCACTCGAGCCCCCACAGCTGGCTCACCCACCTGCGATTGTTTGAGCTGCAGGAGCCGCAGCAGCTCTTCCTTCTTGTGATAGTCTTTGGCGCGGGCGTCCGAGAAGACGTAGATGAAGGAGCCGGGGTTGGCGACCTCCACAGCAGCCTTAATGGCCCCCACACTCATCTCGGGGCAGTCACCACCTCCCTGGAGGGCAGGAGCATGTCAGCAGCTGCCACCTGCCTCCTCCAGATGGGACCCACGCAGGGACACTCCAAAACCATTGGGCGTTGGGAGTCATCTTGAACTGTCACGTCCTGCCCACCCAGTCCCTTCCTTCCTGGGGACACAATATAACATCCAACCTGCTTTAACTGTAGACAAGCAGCATCATTCATTCATTCATTCATGCAAGATTGACAGGGGCCCACCCCCACGGAATCTGGCATGGAAGGGAGTCACTGCACCGATAAGGCCAGCACTGTGTTGAGTACTCTGAGTGGGCAAGGAGGGAGGGGCCACGGAAGCAGCTAACAGATGCCTCAGGAAGCTACACATTCGCCCAGGAAGAGGGTGAGGTGGAGGCTGGGCAAGAGACAAGCACTCGAAGCTTCCTCCCCAAACCCTCTCGGTGGGGCACAGGCTGGGAAGAGTAGGACGGAGGGTCAGGGGCTGGATGGGGCTGCCCACCTGCACAAAGAGTTCTCTCAGCTCCCTCTGAAACACCGTGGGGTCTGCCGTGAGGGTCACTGGGCCAATATCTGTGGAGAAGAGAGAGGGAAGCCCGGTGGGCTGGTTTGTCAGTGACACAGGACAGATGCTCAGAGGAGCGGAGGCTGGCACACGAGACAGGGAGCGATCAGGGAGCAGCTCTCGGAGCTACAGGAGCAGACCAGAAAATGAGGTCAGACCACTCTGCCCCATGCCTGGCGCCAAAGCAGGGCCTGAGCTCCAGGGAAGCAGAGGTGAGGCGGAGGGCAAGCCCCAGCCTCTCCATCCGGACAGCAGCTCCCAACCTTTGGTGACCAAGGCTCCCCTAAGAACCCCCGCCTCCACCATCCACCCGCTGCCACTCAGTGGGGAAGGAATTCCGGGAAGACAAACGAGGAGCAAACAAACAATCCATTCTGGGATACACAGCAACTCTCCAACACCAGCTGCTCAACAAGAGAAAACCTTCCAGCAACCCCATCTATGTATGAGCTCATTTTAAAAAGAGCAGCAATAAAAATGACAAAGATTGACTGCGCTCGAGGTTGGCAAGGACATGGAGCAACTGGAACTTTCATTCACTGCTGGTGGGAACGCACAATGGTTTAACCGCTTTGGAAGAAAATGGAAGTTTCTAAAACATTACATATGCACCTCCCATGGGATCCAGCCATTCCAAGCCTAGGTATGTCCCCAGGAGAAATGAAAACGTATATTCACACAAAGGCTTGTACTCAAAGGTTCATGGCAGCTGGATTCATAATAGGCCAACACTGGACACAAGCCAGATGTCCATCATCCAGTGGAGAGATAGACACACAGGTAAAATCGCAGAACCAGGTTGGACTCAGCAGGAAGGCAGGACAACCACCGATACAAGCAACAACAGGGGCGCTTCTCACACGAGGGAAGCTAGATTCAAAACGGCACATACGGTATGGCTCCATTTATAGGAAGTTCTGGAACAGTCAAAATCAATCTAAGGTGAGGAAAACCAGAACAGAGGTTGCCTGAGGAGCCTGACTTGGAAGGAAGCATCTGAGACAGAAACAGTCTATACATTGTGAAAGGAGTGTGAGTTCCTTGGTGTATCATTTGTCAAGAGTGTGCAGCTAAGATTGGAGCATTTCAATGTATGTAAATTTACCTCATAAGCAAAGCGCTAGAACGAATGATCGTCACTGAGTGGGGGTCGGGGGTGGGAGGAGGTACGGACGAGACGAGAATGATGGGGCTGTTGAATATTTGGCAATGCTGAGTGATGGGTACATGGAGGTTCATTATTCTCTTCTATTTATGTTGTATATATTTGAACAACTGTTCACTAATAAAAAGTATGGTTTTTTAAAAAAAATAGTAATGGAGATCCATGCCAACACAAGACAACACTACCAGTGCTGGACGCCGGACCGGGGCTCCAAGGAGCCTTGCAGATAAGCACACAGTGGGGATTGTGCAAGGTTGGTCGGACATCAAGTTCCTTAGAAAAATATCTGAGTCCTCAGTGAACTCTATGTATTTTCATTTTACTTTACTTTTTGAGACAGAGTTCCACTCTGTTGCCCAGGCTGGAATGTAGTGGCACAATCTCAACTCACTGCAACCTCCACCTCCTGGGTTCAAGCAATTCTCCTGCCTCAGCCTCCCAAGTAGCTGGGACCACAGGCATATGCCACCACACCATCTAATTTTTGGATTTTTAGTAGAGACAGGGTTTCGCCATGTTGGCCAGGCTGACCAACTCCTGACCTCAAGTGGTCAGGCCCCTCTGATCCTCAGCCTCCCAAAGTGCTGGGATTACAGGCATTAGCCACTGTGCCCAGCCTTGGTGAGCTCTAATAACGAACTATTTTTAGTTCAGGAGTTCTAAATCTCAGTTGCCCTAAAGAAACTACCATTCTCGGCAACCAGTTGGTGGACCTCAGTATTTCCTTCTTAGAAAAGAAAGCCTGCGGAATTATCCGGCATTCCCCACCATGATCAAGGATGAGCCGCCACCAGCTTCCCCTGGGGCCCCTGCCCCTCGGCTCTGTGTTTATCCGTGGCGTCCCACACTGCCCTTCCTCGCCTGCCCTGGCCGTCCCCACACGTCCTTTCCTCTGAACTCCACAGTAACAAATTTAGCCCGAAGCAGCAGCTCAGTCCTCAGCCTTGGAGCTCACCCAGATCTGACTGGAATCCTTCCTTTGTCCTTTTTGGGCTACGGGGCCTCTGGGGCAGAGCTCACTTCACTGCCCCAAGCCTTGGTTTCTTCATCTGTAGAACGAGACATGTAGCACCACCGTTTCTCCTCACCAAGAATTATCACCGTGAGAATTCAGTGAAGCCAGGTAGCTAAACCCCTGGCTTGGCATGGGAAGGGCTCAGCCAATGGGAAGCGGCGCTGCTGACGTGAGAGTGCGCTTGGCCAGGCTCCAGCGGGTGTGCTCATAGGTGCAAAGACAGTCCTGCTTTGATATGAGGTCCTAGAATTCTACTCTAAGAAGAGCAATCGTTTCACTCAGCGCTGGTTATTTCATTGTTAGGTAATCATGCGTTCATTGTAAAAAGAAATTAACATGACATGAATGATAATGACAGTTACTACTTAGTGTCAGGCCATGTGCTGAGATGCTTCCTGTGTATCAGCTCACTGAATTCTTCCTAGCACCAGGTAGGTCAAAAAGTCATTTTTTTTTTTTTGAAGTTTTTTGAGATGGAGTCTTGCTCTGTCACCAGGCTGGAGTGCAGTGGTGTGATCTTGACTCACTGCAACCTCCACCTCCCAGGTTCAGGCGATTCTCCTGCCTCAGCCTCCCGAGTAGCTAATTTTACAGGCACCTGCCACCACATCCAGCTAATTTTTATATTTTTAGTAGAGATGGGGTTTCACCATGTTGGCCAAGCTGGTCTCAAACACCTGACCTCAGGTGATCCACCTGACTTGGCCTCCCAAAGTGTTGGGATTAGAGGCGTGAGCCACTGTGCCTGGCCTTTATTTATTTATTTATTTTTGAGACTGAGTCTCACTCCGTCACCCAGGCTGGAGTACAGTGGCATGATCTCGGCTCACTGCAACCTCCACTTCCCAGGCTCAAGCGATTCTTGTGCCTCAGTCTCCCAAGTAGCTGGGATTACAGAGATGTACCAGCATGCCTGGCTAATTTTTTTGTATTTTTAGTAGAGACAAGGTTTTGCCATGTTGGCTAGACTGGACTCAAATTCTTGGCCTCATGTGATCCCCCCACCTTAGCCTGCCAAAGTGCTGGGGTCTGAGTGTTACCCACATTTTTGCAGAGGAGAACATGGAAGCCCAGAGACAGTGACTTGTCCAATAAGCAGCAGTACTGGGATGAGCCCAGGTCTGGGCAACCTCAAGAACAGAGCTCTTCTTAACTATTGTTCTTAGGGAACTAGACATAGAAATTCCTGGCAGGCAAAATAAAACGAAACAAAAAAGGGAAGAAGCACAATTGCCTGTATTTTTTTTTGAGATGGTGTCTCACTCTGTCACCAGGTTGGAGTGCAGTGGTGTGATCTCGGCTCACTGCAACCTCTACCACCTGAGTCCAAGCCATTTTTCTGCCTCTGCCTCCCGAGTAGCTGGGATTATAGGTGCACGCAACCACACCCAACTAAGTTTTGTATTTTTAGTTGAGAAGAGGTTTCACCATGTTGGCCAGGATGGTCTCAATCTCCTAACCTCATGATCCACCCGCCTCGGCCTCCCAAAGTGCTGGGATTACAGGCGTGAGCCATCGTGCCCGGCAAACTGCCTGTATTTCTACCAACCAGAGATAATAATTTCCATTTTGTATATAATCTTCAAATTTTATATTCATATATTTAAATGTGTAAATACATCTTACAAAAATGCATGCTATTTTTAAGCAGAATTTTTATCGAAGTATAAATAACATACTATTTCTAACCCAATTCTTTTCACTGAACAAATGTGAGCAAATTTCCAGAAGGTTACTCAAACATCATTTTAATAGCTACAAAGTATTTCCTTTGCACAAATGCTAATAACAGCCTTGTCCAATCCCATATTGTTTTGGTACCAATTTTTATAATGAACAATGTCATTAAAAACATCTTCGAGGCAGGCACAATGGCTCACACCTGTAATCCCTGCACTTTGGGAGGCTGAGGCGGGGGCGCAGGGGGAGGTGGGGATCACCTGAGGTCAGGAGTTCGAGACCAGGCTGGCCGACATGGCAAAAACCCCATCTCTACTAAAAATACAAAAATTAGCCGGGCATAGGGGCAGGCACCTGTAGTCCCAGGTACTCAGGAGGCTGAGGCAGGAGAATCAATTGAACCCAGGAGGTGGAGGTTGCAGTGAGCCAAGATCGTGCCACTGCACTCCAGCCTGGGCGACACAGTCAAAATCCGTCTCAAAAAAAAAAAAAAAAAAAAAAAAAGAACATCTTCTCATCCATAGCTCAATTGCTTTCTCAGGATACATTGCCATAAGTAGAATCACTGGGTCAATGGCAACAGCATCTGTAAAAACTTTGGATGCAAAATCAGTAACCTTGTAACTCCTCCCCACCCCCTGATGTCCCACCTCCGATCCTCCCAACCTGCACATGCTGGAGGAACCCACGTCTCCCCTGCTCAAGAATCCCCAGTGACCACCCATTGCCTGCAAGCCACACAAAGCTGCCAGCACAGAGCCCCGTTCTGAATCTGTCCCCCTCTAGCCTCCCATCAGAGTCTGTCATCAGTGTCCACCTAACTCTATGGCTCCCAATGTCAGGTCACTGCTAGACGGACACAGGCCCCCTGTTTGAAGCAACATGGAAAAAATGAAGCCGGTAAGGTGAGTCCTCATAAAGCAAGTGCAGCCCGGTTGGGAGAGCTGCCCTTTACCATGGTCCAGGCACCTCCTGCCTGGAGGGAGAGGGGATTATTCTTTCTTTCATGAAAGGCTCATAATAATACAAGGGAGTTGATGTTTTTTTCAGTTTTACTTTGGTAAGTAGAATGTTTGCCACCTATGTTATGTTTATTGTTTTTTCTTTTAAGCTCTTTTTTTTAAGGCAGTTTTATTGGATTAAGAAAC